CTCTAGAACCAAATTCTGCCTGTTGGTGAAACACACAAACAGGGACCTGGAAAAGGTTATTTGTTGTATTTTGGCTAACACGCACATAATTAGCATTGTTTACACCGAGCCAGATGGAATGCAGTGCATCTCCTGACAGGAAGGACCTCGCTTGAGTAACGGCCACGACAGGAACCTTCCCCACTGCCGTCAGGCCCGTTCTGACCTGCAGTAGAGCTGCTCACTAGGCTTCCCAAGACGGACTCTGCACACGGAGAAGGCCTCGTCTGTCTCCACAGACAGCTGGTGGGTTCGAATAGCTGTCTGCAATTAGCAGCTCCGCGTGTAACCACTGTATGAAGCCTTGGTCAAAATCAGAAACTTTAGTATGAATATAATCCTACTAGCCAATAATATATAAATAGTTTATATGAGGGGGCTTCAGGACGTTCAGGGAAAAATTCCAATTTCCCTCAAGTTTCCAACCAAGTACTTGCAGCTATAACAGTAGATATAATATGACCATCTTCAGTCTCAGGAGGAGGAAACTACGCCAGCAGTGAACTTGAATGATCTGAATGGAGAGGAAATGGACGACGACCCAGTGAGGATGCTGCACGCCCTCCTGTCACAGGTAGTGCCCGTGTCCCCGGGTCTGTGTCTATAGAGGATTATGGTGCTGTTGGCCATGAGAGCAATCTTAATGACTGAACAATGCGGTAAATAAAGATGTGGGGCTTTGGTGGTCAAAATCTCATTCTCGCCTTCCATGGGAAGTCCAGGTTCAGTTCCTGGCCAATGCATCCCATGCCTGGGCGCCACCTGTCCGTCCATGGAGGTGTACATGTCACTGTGGTGCTCTGCTCCCATCTGGGGCTAAGTGTGGGCCATCAACCACAAGGCTCGTGCTTCAAGCTCATCAGCTGTTCCTTAGGAGAAAGATGAGGCTGCCTGCTCCTATGAAGATGTGCAATGTCAGAAAGCCTAGGGGACACTTCTGTGTCTTACAGTGTCTCTGTGTGTGGGCTCTCTCTGTGTGGGTGTGGGGGTTTTTTGTGTGTGGTGTGTGTGATGTGTGTGTGTTTTCTGAAAGGAGCCAAGTTCAGCATAAGTACTCAGCTACTATCTGCAAGGTCAACGGTTTGGTTCAGATCCGATGCCCTGGGGCAGAAAAGAACTGCTGATCTGCTCCCGTAGAGCTGACAGCCTTGGAAACCCGATGAAGCAGTCCTGCTGTGCCCTACGCGGGCAACCTCTGCCTGCTAGAATGGACTTGGTGGCCCAACAGCAGCATGCTGCTGAAGTGGTTCCAGCACAGCTTCAGACCGCCTGCCTCTGAAGATCAGCCCATGAAACCCATGGACCACAGCAACCCGCCCTGCAGCCACGGGGACGTGCTCCCTGGCAGGTCTGTGTGCCTTTGGTCTCCTGAGTCATTGGCTGGCTTGACAGCACTCACAGCAGGAAGGCCCCTAAAAGCAGATTCTTTTTCAGTGAGTGACATGTCACCAGAGACTTACAGGACCCTAGCCTCTATCTCCCACCCCCGAAGGGGCTTTTGCTAATTCAGGGTGTTCAGGGTGGCTTTATTTTAAACAGAATTGTTTTGCAATTTATTATTTCCCTGTGTTACCCTTTCAAATGTTTCTAGGAATTGCAGGTTGGCCCTCTAATTTGTTTCTGATACTGAGATCTTACATCTTTCAGTGTTTCCTCTAACATGTCTGGTGCCGTTTGGACCATGGGATTAGGAGAGAAAATAGGGGTCAATGAAAAAGAGGAAGCCAGATAGGTTGGCAGTGAGGCTGCAGCAGTGGACTCCAACACGGCGACAGTGACAGGCAGCGCTCATCCTGCGTGCTGTCCTCAGGTCACTAGGGGCTGCAGCCACCTCAGTGTCATCTCATCACAGCAACCTCACCACGCTGTAAAGGTGGGAGGTTTCCTTTGCTGGATTTCATTTTGAATAAAGAGTTTTTCCAACCTCCTACCCAGTGCCAAGGCTTCCCTGCGTGGCACAAATGGATAAGCATTCACCTGCTCGCTGGACAGTTGGCTTAAACCTACCCAGAGGCACCTTAGAAGACAGGCTTGGTGCTCTACCCACAGCAGTGTGAAAGCCCTGTTCTCTGACACACGTGGGTGTCCCTGACTTAGAATCAGTTCAACCACAACTCACCACCTCCACTAAGGATTTGAACGGAGACCTTTAACAATCAACATTTAAACTTGTTTATGCTTCAAAAAATGATGAGAAGACTTTAGTAATCTTTATGCACACAAATATATCGTTACATAAATCTAAAATTCCCACGTAATATCAAGAATATATTAAATATCAAAGCTATGGTGTTTTTGTTGCTAGGTGCTGTTGAGTTGGTTCTGACTCAGCTACAGAATGAAGTACTGCCCAGTCCTGCTACATCCTCAGATTGTTCTATTTGGGCCCATTCTCATAGCCACTCCTTGAAGTCTTCCTCACTTCCACTGCCTGTCCACTTCACAAAGCACGAGGTCCTTCTCCAGAGGCTGGTCTCACCTGACAACTTGTCCAGAGCGCATAAGACAAAGTCTCACGGTCCTGCCTCTACGGCTCCTTCTGGCTCATTCCTTCCAGGGGCATATTCCTTCCAAGACAGATTGTTTTTTCTTTGGCAGTCCATGGTACGCTATTCTTTGCCAGCACCATAATTTAAATGCATTTGGTTCTTCTTCTGTCATCTTAAATCGCTGTCCTAGCATGTAGCCACTCTTTCCATAATTACTCATCAACAGAGACTTTGCCGTCAAGCCTCCCACGTGTGGCATCTCCAGATCATCGGTCATGAAGACAAACCCCGGTAAAGAGAAGCTACTCGGAGGCCTGGTAAACATCGGCTCTGTCATGATTTCAAAGGTGCCTGTAAAGGATGACTCGGCATCTGGAGTCGTGCTCCCTGGTTTACCCAGCAGGCCATCTTCAGCTCAGGCCATGCATGCTGGGATTTCGGCAAGGATGCCTGCTACTTGCAGAGACCCCTGTAGGGGAGCAGGATGCTCTCGGAAGTGGGCACAGGAACCTTGCTGCCCCCACGCGTCCTAGCTGGCAGCCCTGCTGGGGAGCAGTCCTGACGCTCACGTGGAAGGATGTAGGACATGGTTTCTCAACTTCAGCACTAATGACATTTCTGGGAAGGGGCAGTCTTTGTTTGTCTCAGGGGTGGAGTGTGTCCTGTGGGCTGTAGGACTCTTGGGAGTGCCCCTGGTCTTGACCTGCTAGCTGACTAGCAAGTCCTATCTCTGACCCTAAATATCTTCAGACATTGCCTGACCTGGGGGCAAAACCACCCCCAGTTGAGGCCCACTGATCTAGGAGATTCTGGAACAAGAGGCGGAAATAAGAGCAGTGGGATAGGAGCCTAGAGAGACCAGGCTCTCGTCTTCTGAAAACTTAAGGAGGCCTGGTGTGGCCGTGGTTAAGTGTTTGGCTGCTAACCAAAAGATTGCAAGTGTGATCTGTCGGAGCCTGCCGACCAGTCGAACGGTCCTGAAAGGGAGAGTGAGGATTAAGGAAAAAAAGAGAGACAGAAAGTATTGGGAGGGCAACAGTGAATACTGAAGCCCTGAGTTTATTCTACATCTTCCTTTTATACATGCAGACACAGCCCGGGGTTATAGTTTTCTCATTGTTAAGCAAGCACATTGAATACACATCAACAACTCTATGTTTTTCCAAGCCAAGCATCCTTGAGAAAATTAACCATCCTGATTTCCCAGAACTTGCATACATCCTTGTTCTTTGTCCTAGTCTCAATGTCAAGCCGCAGAAGCAAACAGCAGATACTGACACCTGGGTCGTGAGACTTCTCAGCCGTTTCCAGGCTGAGTCTTAATGGCCTTCAACAGTGATCCCACCTGCAATCCCACTGAAGTCTGCTTCCTTAAAGATTATAGCCTTAGAAACCTTATGAGACCGTCTCCCCTGCCCTCTAAAGTCTGCTGTCAGTCACAACTAGTCAGTGATGGGTTCCTGAAAACTCCCTGAGAATGTTGCAAGAAATCCAGGGCATTTTTTGTCACAGAGAAGAAACTCATAAACGGTTACTGCTGTTAGTGCCGCTGAGCTGGGTCTGACTCAACAGGTCCCTCTGTGCAACAGTGAAGCACCCCCAGTCCTGCACTGCCTCTCTGCTTTTCTGAGCATGGTGTCCTGTTGTCCTCCCCACAACGTGCGAAAGTACCTGAGACAAAGTGTCGCCATCCTTGTTTCTAAGGAGCTTCTTGGCTGTACTTCTTCCATGATAGGCACATTTGTTCTTTTGGCAGTCTGTGGCATTTTCGGTATTCTTCGCCAGCGCCGTAATCCAGATGCATCAATTTGTCGCCCCGCTTCCATATTCGGTGTCCAACTTTCACATGCTTATGAGGTTGGTTGAAAACCTCCTGGCTTGGGTCAGGCGCACCTTAGTCCTCACAGTGACATCCTTACTTTTCAACACTTTAAAGGGGTCTTGTGCAGAAATCAGTGCTCTTGGATATTGCAGTTCAAATGGTTAAATTTTACCATGTGGAACGTGGCGTCATTGAAGTGTTCTAAACTGAGGCTTAATCCACTTTTCTAAAATTTTATTTTGGAATAATTATGATGCATCCCTTTCATGTTTGCTTTTCTGTGTTGCTGTTCTTAAGTACCATTGAGTGGGTTCTGACTCATAGTGACCCCATGCCCTGCTCCCCCATCCAGTTGGTGCAACATCTTGTGGAGCATTTCCTTTGTTCCCATCGGCTCTGTGGACTTCCCTGTGTTCGCTGTTAGAAACACATTTAGTTTGACAAAACCCCATCCATTCGTTTGGATGCATAACTGATGGAATTATTCCTCATCCCATTTCTCCTGATGGCTGTGATTCTCTTATCAGGAGGAGAGAGATGTAATTGCTGTGGATCAGCTGGGCCAGAGGCTGTTGAACAAGATCGGTCTGTCCTGGAACAAGAAGTACAGAAAACAGTATGGACCGTTGCGAAAGGTAACGTTTGGGGAGGTCACCGGAAGGCCTAGTCCTTGACAGCGGCTTGTTATGATCTCAGAAGGACACATTCTGCAGGTGGATATTTAAAATAGGGGAAAGTAAAATTAGTGTTTCTGCTTAATTGCTAGAATTCAGATAAATTCATAATAGAATTTACCTATTATCGGGTCAAGAGGTAAATAAAAATACCGGATGGAGAGGCTCCAGATCAGAAGAGCAACAAAAAAGGAAAAAGTTATCACAAATTCATATCCTAAAGCGTATCATGTAAAGTGATTGGGGCAAAGTTTTACCATTTCACCTTTAAGTATGATATGAGCTGTGTAGGAGTCTCATTGTTTTGTAAGTACCCTTTACAAGTTTGATGAAGTTCCCTTTTATTCTTTGTTGACTAATAGTTTTTATCTTAACCAGAGATTCAATTTTATTGACTACTTTGATTTTATTATTAATCTGGTCAGTTGTATTGCTTGATTTTTTTCTTCAGTGTCACGGCAGTCCGATTCTTGGACCACAACGTGCTTGTTCTTGATAGCTTTGAGTGTTTTGTTTTTCTTAAAGGGCCAGATAGTGAATATTTTGGGCTTTGTGAGCCGAGAGGTAAAATCAAGGCACTCAAGACCTTTTGAAAGTTAACCATTACAACTATAGTGGCCCTTCTTTGCCCGGAGCGCTATGAAAACAGGCAGCAGGCTGTGGTGGCCAGCCCTGGCCTTAATAGAAAGAACCAAGTACAGGCTGTAGTCACACTGCTTAACCCCAAAGTTACAGAGAAATGACCTAAATGACCACTCATCTTTAAAGAGCTGAGAGAAAAGCAGCAACAGATGTTATTAATCTAGAAGTCTGTACTCATCAGAAATATTTGAAAAATGAAGGCAAAATCAAGATTTTCAGACACAACGCTGAGAATGTTTTCTGCCAGCAAACTGGATTCCTCGGAAACGTGTGGGAAGCACTCGGGCAGAAGGGGATGAGACTCGGTTTAAATCTGCTGTGTCGGGGACGGGCCCCAGATACATACATACATACAAAATAGGAACTGCCCACCGTTTCCTTAAAGGGCTTCTAAAAATAATGACATGCTATTGTGTCATCTACAACTGTGTAGAAAAATAAACAAAAACCAGCAAAAATGGCTGGAGGTAGGTAAATGGAATCATGATTGTAATCATCTTATGGTTGTACTTGAAGTGGTATGATATTAAATATAGTGTAATCCCTAGAAAAACTATTGAAATTACTATGCAAAGCCAGCAAAGGAGGTAAAAATGGGCTGTGAAAAACGACTTTATTTTTGTCTAAAGTTTACTTTTAGAGTTTTTATCTGGAGTGTATTGTTTTTAGCAAGAGGGTTAGCCTGATGAGAGTTCTCTGCCATTTCCAGAACCTGAACTGCAGCAGAGTTCGTGTCTTAACAAACAGAAAGGGGGCATATTTGACTATGTAGAAAAGTGAGAAGTCTCAAATTACTGATAGGGTATTGTCCTTCAATTCTGTGAAAACAGATTTTACCCTCTGTCCTCATAATAAAGCAGTCTGTGGGTGGCAAGCTAGTAGTGCCACAAGGGGTGATCTTTCTAAGAGGAAGATGAGAAAAATCACTTTTGTTGTGGATTGACGGGACAGCGAATGTCGCACAAGGCTTCCCAGAGACTTCTCTCCAGCAGAAACGTGCTGAGAAAGTGGAAGTGACCGGGACTGCCTAGAGATTGGAGGAGGGAGCCAGGCCTTGTGGAGAGAGATTTTTTTTCTCTAACAAAAGGAACCTGAGAGAGTCTTGGGGGTCATGAGTCCGAGTTGACCCACTCAGTGAACAGCATGCGTTGACGCCTGAGCTAACCTCTCAGCTTCCAGGACAGACCACACTGTTCGGTGAATGGTCTGAGAGACTGCCAGCTGCACAACCAATTAATGTAGTTCCGCTCGCTAAGCTGCACCATCACAATTTGGCAAAAGCGGTGTGACATACTAACAAGTACAAGAAGGGAAGAGAGTTGTTCTGAAACTGAGTGTGGTGATGATTGTACAACTTTCCTTGATGTGCTTGGACTATTAAATTGTATAAGTGAGTCATAAACTAAAAAAGTGTCTTTTAAAAAGTGCTGAGACATATGTTTACAACAATGACGAAACAAAACAGTGCCAAGGCTGCTTATGTACAAACCCCTCATGGGACTGGGCAAGAAAGTTTAAGGACCAAATCATAGGTTAGCTTACTCTGAGCGCTGTCCCTGAGGTCCTTCCAATCGGCCTGGGATCACGCTGACAGCAGCACTGGGAAGAGTCCGTTGGTTCCATTGGCTGTTGTTTCCTGAGAAGCTGAAACGTGGCCTCTGGCATTTTTATTTTTCAACAGTTTTACTGACATATAATTTACATGTCATACACTTCAGTAGTTTAGTTACATCAAGAAGAACTGTACAGTCATCACCACAATCAGTTTTAGAACATTTTCCTCATTCTTGTACTCATTTTTATTAGCTTCCTATTTCCCCCAACCTCCTCTGCCAGACCCTGAAGGAGCCATTAACCAGTTACTCTCTGTCGCTATAGATTTACCTACCGTGGATTTCATACGTAGAAAACCATTTAAAAACAAACAAAACTAGCAAGAATAACAGTGAAACAGATGAAACCTCAATCGAAAAGAAAGCAGAAAATATTAAAAACTAGAACAAATTTCAATGGATCATAAGGTGATCAAATGATAGGCTGATGAATTTTAACCTAACTGCATCTGCAACAATCCGTTTCCCAGTGCCTTCCACATGTTAAGGCTATTCACATCCCTGTCCGTGGTCAGGGGATTCACGAGGGGCTTGATCCACGTGTCTGTCCCCTGTCAGTGTTCCTTTTAGTGTGGGTGTAATGGCAGAAGCTTTAAGGGGAAAAAGCAGTGTTGGGAGTCAGCGAGTTGGTGGTAAGGTGAAGAGACAACACAGGAGGGGGAGGGTATGAGTGCACAGCTCAAAGAACAGAAGTGAGGGATTTTCATGGGATGGGACCTTTCTGCAGTCGCCTATAATAGGTGTCGTTGAGTTGTACCTTTCGCATCTTCTGAATTGGGGTCTGTTCTTTAAGAGGTTTAGTTTTCACGTGGCACCGTGGGCGAAGGAAGCAGAGAACTAACAGGCAGTATGGCCATTGGAGCCCATCAGCTCCTTGCCCTCCCCCTGTGGGGGGCCTCTGCTCCGTGCTGTGGGCTTCTCTCGTGCTGTGGGATTGGTTTCATTTGGGGGTTGCTTACTTTGCTCTTAAACACTTCAGAAACATGCCGCCCAGTCTGTGCCAGCAAAATCCCTTTTTGGAAGGCAGCACAACTGAGGTGTAATGGGGATGCTTTTCAGAGTGTGACCTGCAGCAGACCATGGCACAGGGAGCCATTGGGTTTTATGGAGTGGACTCCCGCCCTCCCTCTAGTTAATGTCTCAGAAGGAGGAGAGCTGTGTTTTCATGGAGTCTAACTTGAAAACATGGTTACTAACCGAGCATTTGTGTGCTTTGTTCTGTTTCTTTGTAGTTCTTACAGCTCCATTCTCAGATATTCCTGCTCAGTGCAGATGAGAGCACAGTGAGTCTGTCCAAGAGCTGTTCTCTCCAGCCCACGTCGGATTCCCACAGGAAAGAGGGGTGCGATTTCAAGACACTCACTTCAGAATCGCCGGGGGTTAATGACAGCGCCTCCAGCCCCCATTGGTTTGATATAAATGACTCCAAAGTCCAGCCAATCAAGGAAGAGGACATTGAGCAGCAGTTTCAGGGGAAGGAAAGTGCCTACATGCTGTTTTACCGGAATTCGCAATTGCAGAGGCCCCCAGAAGGTACAGAGAGCTAACAATTCCTGTCGGTTTGGTTAAGCTAATTAACTAACTTAGACTGGAAGCACTTTTGTCTTTAGAAGACAAACATCCACTGTTATTTGATTGTTTTCACCCTTTTAAAGGAAGCTTACTCTTGAAATACAGTAAATATGCCCAACGAAATCCAACAGTCTGTCATTTATAAAGATCAGATGTTTCTACTTACTCCTACAAGCAGGAGGTCAGAAATGGAGCCTCTGCCTCTCCATAGAGTCTGGTTTTCATACTAGACTTGCTTGCAGCAGGTCGGAGACTGGAGTGTGACTGGCCTGCCCTGGGCTGGCTCTCTGTCATCCAGCCACGCGTGCCTCAGACTTGGATGTGGCCTGCTTCCTGAGCCTCGCTTTTACTTTTCTGTCCTTTTTCCTTCCCCTCCCGGTAATACTCTGTGCAGATGGAAGTACATACTTTAGGTATGTGCATAGGTCAGAGTTGTATACATAAATTTTCGGGAAAATTCAAATGTCCATTTTCTGAGTAATTAAAATATCTCTGAAGCGTGTTTTACTGAGACCTAAGAGGTTAACCAGTGGGACCGCCAGTAACAAAAGAACATTTTTAACCAAGGCACTAATATGAATAAGTCAGTAAAACTTTGATCCCTTCCCAAGTCTGTGAAAAAGTAGAAAATCCTAACTGGGGGAAAAGACTAGATTGAGAAGTAATCATGATGAAAATGTGGATACTGCTCTCAGAGTAGTGACCATGCGTCTTCAGAATAAAGCCTTTGATCATTGCATGTAGATCCAAGAGGAGGCGCTGTGGTTGTGAAGCAGTTCTAGGACTGCTGGTAGTCTGAGAGGGCTCGGGCTTTTCCTGGGGAAAGATGTGGTGTGTGGAGCAAAATGCACAGGTAGAGAAACCTATAGCCATATAAAAAGACAGAGCCATCGCTGTCGTTTTCTTCTTAACAGGATTGCATTCTAGCATGAATATATTTAGAACATATACACAACAAGAGTCTTCCAGTTATCTTAGGAATTTAATTAAAGATCCAGCCAAAATCTCCAGGGAGTTTTTTGAGGAGGTGATGAAGGGACATAACTTAAAATATGGCAAAGAGTTGATGGAGGGAAATTTTGCTGCATGGATATAAACCTATTTCTAAAGTGGTAGCAAGCCAGACCACTCAGGGCAGGCAGAGTTGTGGTCAGAGCCTGGGGAGAGAGCAGAAAGGCCCAGGGCTGGTCTGGACTAACTATGACCTTCATTTTAATCCAGGGTTCAAGTTTACATTTTCAGATCTGCTCAGTGGGGGAGAAGTGACGTATTAAGTATCAGTAGAAAATTAGTTGCTAGAAGTGTAACCGGTTGTATTATACTAAGTCAAAATGAGCTGGGCCACCTCAATGGCACCTAACAGCGACAACAGCAAGCACCTCGGTGAAATTAATGCTTTTGAGTTTGTGTGAAAAGGCATCGTAGCATGAATGAAACGTAAATATCTGCGTTTCAGATAGGAAAAAAAACCTTAAAACTTAAAACAAAAAAAATGAAGAGAAAGTGCTGTAACCCTTCAAAAGCAAATGAAGAATATTAGTAAGCATCTGACAAATACATTTCCCTTATGCTCACAGACACTATTCATGATTGAAGAGCTTATTAAAGAAGTTACCAAGTTCTAATGCCGGTGAGAAATGCACAGGATAGTTGCTTATCAGAACCTGGTACAAAATTCTTCCAGCTCTGCTAATGCCCAGAGGGACGTCCCTCAACCCAAAGGCACTCAGCTCAAGCTCTGGACTAGCAGACGCGCTCCCTGAGTGAGATGCCCGAGGCACCCACTCCAGTCAGCCTCACCTGAAGGCACTCCGCTCCACACTGCACATCAGCTCCTACACAAGCGGCTTTGTCGTGCTTGCTCCCAGGGTTGGGGACTGCATGAAGTTCCAGCTGTCTTCTGGGTCCAAGAAGCTCGATGTGCGGG